GAATATGTCTAATGACAAAACCCTAGGGGAAGCTGGAGCTTCGTTTTCAAAGGAACCTCTAGTAGTTAGTGATTTTTCTGGTCACTAACAGGCATCAGTTGAGTCTTTTCGCGGTGTAGGCTAGGCATACAATATAGTAAATCTTACTGTTGCCTCCCTAAGTTAAAAGCACCTATACGATCTGGCAACAACCCTGCATAGCAACTTTCTTTCAAAACTGGACAGTTAGATGTGGTCCAAGTGCCATGGAATTGCCAAGTAGGTTAAATAAGCCATACTTTATAGTATGTAATGGGTGATTCTAAACAAGGTGGAGTATTTTTAAAAAACAAAAAAGCCACAAGAGTAAATAATCAGAATGAATCAGAGTACTCAGAATGTTAAAAACCCAGTAGTTTTATTTCAAAGTATAAATTTCAGGCTTGTTGGACAAAACCCCACTACAGTTAACACCTTAATACAGACACTACTCTACTGTACATTTAAAAAAGAAAAAGAAACAACACATACACACACACACAAAAAAACCTTCAAAACCCTAATAAAAATAGGGCAACTTGCTAGAGCCCAGTTTGTATTAGACATTAGGAAGGTCTTACGTACATTGTCTTATTATTTACACTTTCAATTGCAATAAAGAAAAATTAGGATGCAAGTTTCTTACAAAGGATTTTTATATTTAATTTTGAAATGGCTGATAAAACACTAAAGCCAGGATCCCCAAAAGGTGTTTGATTGCCCAGTTACCTTATGTACAAAAAGCAAACAAAAAACCAGACAAAAACAAAAACCTCAAAAAAATAATAGGGAGAGCACTTAAATATGGGTACGTAGCTGGTTCTACAAATAAAAAACAAAAGTTTATTTTAACATGGTGAATTATTTGAAAGTGAGAAGACAAAACATGTATTTGCATTACCATATTCCTCCCCATTGGCTGGCTCAAGGGGACGGATGAGTTTCAGGAATTAGATAAGTCTGCCACACTAGCGAACACTTTATGAGAATTGCTGATTTTTGTGTGTGTCCCAAAAGTTAAAAAAAAAAAAAAATAGGGCATTTGCCAGTAAAAATAGTAAAGAAGGTAGAATCACACATTGGTTTTAGACAGTTATTTGCTGTTGCAAATACGGGGACTTGGGTTTTCGGGAAATTAGAATAAAACAGGCCAATCACAGGTCAGTGATAAAATAACAAAATCATAGGATGTTGAGGATACTGAATTGGCCCAAGAAGGAACGTCTTGGAAGGAGAACATTTGGAAGGAAGGTCTTTGCAGTACCTTACTGTGCTAAGATCACAGTGTAAAAAAGTGAGAGATGAGGATACCACAGGCATTACTTTTTTGACCTTGTACAGTACTGGAAAGCTCATGAAACAAGATAAATGAATATCATGCAATATTAACCCTAACCTTGTTGCATAAATGGTAATTTGTAGAATATATAAAGCAAAAGTGCAAACAACAAAAACTAAGTTAACACTTACCCAATGCAGTAAGAGAACTGTAAGATACAGCCTGCTTAAGGAGATATGCAGACAGATGGACCTAACATTTAGGCTGTTTGTTTTAGGTCACTTTTTTCAAAATATTTATTGTCTGGCAATGGGGATGGAAGTAGGGAACACCTCTCTGTGAGGCAAATGGTATCTCAATATCCACTTTTCAAGGAAGAAAGCTCTCCACTTTTCTCATAAACTTATATACTATCTTAAACAGTATGCAGTATTCTGCATATTTAAAAAAATGAATCCAGAGGAATCGAAGGATATAGTTACCTCATAAACTGTTAACAACAGATGTCTTTGCATGTGATTTATAAATTTCTTGGCAAGAACAGGATTTTTAAAAGAGGCTTACTCACACTTGACAGAGTGAAAATTACTCTCACAGAATGCAAAGTAGAGTAATAAACATGACCGTTATCTTTAAATGCCACACAGACATCCTACATTGCAGGTTGCAACATCAGGTTTTCAGAATTTCCAACAGGCAATACCTACACAAATATTGCCAGGCTAAAAATGTAGCAAACTTTCATTCCCAAAATGGGAGAATCTCGCTTATTTGTAACACTTTGTGAAAATACTATGAAATTAAAAAGGTAACCATGGAGTGGAAACTGCTACTAGAGAGTCTGTTATCAGTAGCTATTTGTACTGAAGTCCTCCATTCTCTCTCCCAGAAGAAACAAACCAAACAAAAAGCGTCTACCAGCATTACAAACCTGCCTCAAATAAAAGCCTGGTGTTCTAACCTAGCACCTTTTAGTAAATCTAATATAGCTGTTGCCCCTACATGCCATGGTAGGTTAATTTGAGGACATCATCTTATATAATTTTCCCCTAAATATTGCGATCTCTCCCTGTACCTTCCTTCCAACTGGAATAAAGCATTTTAAGTAATTATTTTACTTTAGTAAATCTATTTTTAGGATTCCTATTTGAGAATTTAATTGTTTCCCTTGACAGAAAACATAATATAGGCTAGGATAATAAATTTTCTTTTTATTCTACTGGGCTTTCTTCATCTGATTATGTAATGCTATGAAAGATTGTTTTTAAAAGATTAGTAAATATAAATAAAAATGTTCATCAAGAGAACATTTTTTAGGTTAGGTAAGAAAACTGTTACCACGTGACCATAAAAACAGCCAATAAAGAACAATTTGAACATGGGCCTTCAATTCTGTAGACAGGAATAATCTTGAACACATAATCAACACTGCAACCACGTCAGGTCAAAACATATACATGCAGATATAGACAGGTGTTCATACACATCTACAAGATTATCGACTCCTTCCTTTTGAAATTTTTGGTGCCGTGACACTGGCAACTTCTTCACCATCCTCATTAGCTCTAGAATGAGTAATGTCTACGTAGGTGGTTGGCAAATTTGATTTATAGCATATACCTTGTGGTCTCATTTTCTGAGAGTCAAAGGAGGTTTGGAGCATTAATTTTTTGGCAATCTATAGGCTTTCTTCATCATCAATCAAATCTCATACCTCAGATGATAGTGTTACTGATCGGTCAAAAGTCTCTAAAGAGTTTCTTTACAACTAGAATACTTCCTATTACAAGCCATCAAAGCTGCAAATAAAACGTTAATAAAAGCAAGAGCTCCCTCCTGTAATTCTAGAAAAAATGAATGACTATTTTGAGAAGGTACAAATATGAATTCAAATACTATAAAGGAAGAGGATTTGTAAGTTATGTCACAAACTCCATGAATTCCTTTCAAAATACTCTCAACCACATTCTCACTCATAAAACTTAACTGAGCCCTCCAGTCCTAAACTATCTACACTCAGAACACCTACCTGACACCAGTGCAGCTGGTCCTCATATTAAAAATCAATGACCTAAGCTGAATTTTAATAACTTTGAAGAGGAACAGAGATACACAGGAGGTTATATCTAACTGTTACATAAAATGACCTCAAAGGATATACTTTAAATTCTTTTTTTTGAGACAGAGTTTTGCTCTTGTCACCCAGGCTGGAGCACAATGGGGCAATCTCAGCTCACTGCTACCGCCCCCTTCATGGGTTTAAGCAATTCTCCAGCCTTGCTTCCTGAGTAGCTGGGATTACAGGCATGTGCCAACATGCCCAGCTAATTTTGGGATATACTTTAAATTCTATCCAAAGCTACCAATGGGTACATCAGGCTCAACTTGGCACCATCAAAACAAAGTTCAAAGGTTGAAACAGGAAGGATGATATGAGAATAAAAAGGAAATGAAGCTTTCTCCTTTATATTTCAGCTTGTTCTTATATTGTGAATCTTACTGTTTGCTTCCTTTGAAAGAATACTAAGGAACTGGTATTGGGTGATAGCATTGGGTAATAAACTAAACAAGAATCATTTTCATAATCTCTAATAGTATGCAACATGGATACAACGTTTATGAAAAATTTTCTTCCACAATATGGTTTTCTCTTGGTCCACTTTACACAAAGTTAAATAGTGACCAAAAATAAAAGCATCTATAGTTTTCGAAGAAAACAGCACGTCAAATTTTTGGAGTTAAATGTGATGCCACAGATGAGACTGTGCATGCGATATCTGTGTGTACATATACATCTATGTACACACACACACACACACACACACACACACACACTCACACACACCTTGGTTTAAAAATCACTTGAGGAGGCTGGGCATGGTGGCTCATGACTAATCCCAGCATTCTGGGAGGCCAAGGTGGCAGATAATCTGAGGTCAGGAGTTCAAGACCAGCCTGGCTAACATGGTGAAACACTGTCTCTACTAAAAATACAAAATTAGCCAGGCATGGTGGCAGGTGCCTGCAATACCAGCTACTCTGGGGCTAAGGCAGGAGAATTGCTTGAACCCAGGATGTGGAGGTTGCAGTGAGCTGAGATTGCACCACTGCACTCTAGCCTGGGTGACAAGAGGGAAACTCAGTCTAAAAAAAAAAGTTATTTGAGGAGGTGTGCTATATTTGGTAGAGATGAAGGAGAAATCAAGGATAAAAGGCTGAAAAAGAAGAGTAAACAACAATGGACATATGGCCATGTTTATTTTTTATTTTTGGCCATGTGTATTTTTGTAGATAATCTTTAAGGCACAAAACAAATGTAAAACCAGATTAGGAAAGGAAGGGGGCCACTGCAGATCTTTTTTCACCTAATTAACAACTCAGGAGACTCGACAAAAGAAAAAACAAATAGATCCCATCCTGTGTTCAAATTAACCTATTTTAAACTATCTAGCCATTTTGTTTTTTATTTCTTTGGGTTTTGATTCTGTTTAAACCACTTAACTAAAATGATCCTACAGATCCTTTAAAAGCAGAATCATGCCAGTTACACATCTCCAATCCTTTGATCTACTTAATTTGTATTTTAAGAGGTAAATTTGAGAATAAAAATGGGAGACCCCAATGCAATAAGACATAAATAGGGAAAAACACACACAAACACCCATACATATTCCCCAGCCTCAAAACTAAACCAAGGTACGCATTTACATTTCGAAACCCCAAAGCCTAAACTGTCCAGGAAAAGATTCTTGCTTTGTGGGCTGAGTTTATTTTGCTTCTGTTATAAACAAATGTAGTGTATACACACATCTGTCCAAGAAATCCACAAGGTGGATTTTAGTGGGGTATCATGCACAAGATTAAAAACAAGACCAAAAGGTGGAAAATTTAAAAGAGGAAAATATAAAGGCTCCAAGGTTTAACTGCTCTGGGTAGAAGAGATCACATCTGTTGACTGAGGATCACAGAAAGGCCCAAAACGTCCATAAATATCCTTGGCTCGTACTGCAAAGTAGTATTTGCTACCAGATACAAACTGGGTGAGAGTACATGCCATGGGCAAGGGAAGTGCCTTTACTTCTCCAATCTTTTTCCACTGCGAGGGCACAGTGGCACTGGGTTCCTCGTGGTAAGCATAGAGATGGTAGCTATCAACAGTGGCACAGCTTCGATCCACCTCCAGGACACTCCATGACAGTACTATGCCATTTTGACTCTGAACTCGTGCTAACTTCAAGTGTGGCTTCTGAGGCAGAGATGTGCTGGCAGCTTCTGGGGGCAGACGCTGTGGTTGTGGAGCTTCTGGTAAGGGTGCTGGGTGCACAGGGCGTGGGGGCTCCTAAAAAAAAAAGTCACACTGATTTATAATGATCACAAAAAGAACTATTTTAGAATGTTAGAATTAAAACACCTTAGAGAACAGATAGAGAGATATTATTTTACATCAAGAATTCTAAGAAATACCAAATATTGTGATAAAACTGGGAAGTTCTATTTGGTGTCTATTTCCCAGACCTAAAATACTTGGAGTTTTTCTTGGGAAATAAAAAGCCCCTGCTGATGGAACATCATTTTGATGAACATCCAAATAATGAGCTCCTTCTAACAAAATAATTTATGATCAAATTATCTATGTTACAGATTCTCACTTTAGTATGATGTAACACTTTTAAATATCATGTATGGCAGCCAAGATCATAAAAAACTGGAGTATACAACCTACTTTCATTTTTAAGTTATTTTGTAATATAAGATAGTAGTATATTCTTATAAGTAAGAGCATTAACATTCAATATGTACTATATTCTTGGCCAGTTTATAAGAAAAAGGCGGTGTTTAAAGTGAATTGTGAAAGATAGGATCCAGAGATGTGGAAATAATCATGTACCTTTCAGCCAATAGATAAAGCATGAGCAAAGGCATGTGAACAGGAACAAGTATTAACTTTTTCTTAGACACAGGGTATATGAAAAAAAATCTGGAAAGATAGGTTAAGGCCAGATGATGAAAAAGTATGACTCTATTTAGGAAGCCCTACTGATTTTCCTAACACTAGAACATCATCATCACAATGATATTTCATACTAATCAAACACTGCCAAAAGTGTGTCACAGGATAATGTGACATTGTTTTGGAGGCTAAATCTACGGAGAAATCTTTGGTTCTCTCTATTAGCTCTTAACTAATGAATTCCCAATATCACTGGATTCTTTAAAACAACTGATGACAATATAGCAGTTGGACGTGGCACAGAGGGAAAGAATATAATCAGAACATGGAAAAATGAAAAATGTCCTTTTTAATTTAACTATAAATTAGAAATGGTCTATATTTCACTTCATATACCCCACTGTGGACCTGGTTTTGTACACTGTACACCACAAGCAAATTCAATGATTCTAAATAATCATCATCCCTAGGAACATTTCTTCATAACAGTAACATCAATTTTTAGAAATAAACTTCTGGAAAAGCAGAAACACCTAACATTTCCCTTGGATATAACCGCTTTAAAGAAAAATGTCAACTACAATAATATTTTGTAGCTTTACCGTTGAGAATTTTGCAAAACCAAGCACCAACACTTACAGTATGCACTTGTGGTGGTCGATGATGCACTGTGAGCTGAGGTCCTGTTGATCCCAGGGTTAGTCCATTGTTTACAACATACGTGGTTGTTTGAGGCACTCGAACTGTAACACCTACAAAAAAAATTACAGGATAAAATGATAATTCTCTCCTAAGTTTGGTGGAAAACTGACTAAATATTTGAAGTCAGTGAAGCAATGCTTTCAAGATTGGAAAAGCAAGTTACTTCTAACCTAAAGGTCTTATTCGTATTTAGCCAAGCTATCATCCAGCCTGTGGATAAAGAAACTTTCTGATATGCAAGCACTTAGAAAAAATTCTAACTACCATAAACCCTTTATCAAGTAGTCACTGGAGAATATATGCCACCAATATGTGAGAAAATAAAGAGAAAAACACGAGACACAAGCAACAGGAGGTCCAGGACAGGGAGAAATAAACAGATCCTTACCAGGAGAACTATGAACACAAATCCTAGAACACTACTTGTGTACCACATGTAAACAGTAAATGGCCGTAATGGAGCAGTGTGACTCAAAAGACATACAAATTGGCAGTATCTTCATAAAAATCTCTGCTGTCTCATCTTTTCAACCAGTATGGAAAGCTAGAATAAGTCATATTTGCCATCTATTAATGAGGCTCTTCTCATTCTCTCCATGCCCAGCTGATTGGTTGAAGATACTCATTTCACCCCACAGAAAAATGCTGTGACATAACACCAGGGAAAAATAGAAAATTTAGAGCCACCTACTGCCCTGACCATATACCTGTCATATATTCAGTACCTGGCCCATGCTGTAGTTCTGCCTGGTGCCCTGACTATGGTGAGCCAAGTTTCCCAGAACTCATTTCTAATCTTGCTGATTAATTTTCTCAGACAACGCTCTTGTAAACTCGAGAGAGTTGAAGCCAAACTATGATCCAGAGACTCCAATCAGTTTATTTTCTAATGATGGCATTACTATGTTTCTTTAAACAGCTATATTTGTCCTTGCTATTACATTTTGCAAAACCAAATACTACATATGTGTGATAGTTAACAGTGAGTGTCAACTTGATTGAAGGATATGAAGTATTAATCCTGGATGTGTCTGTGAGAGTATTGCCAAAATACTGGCCTGTTGTGGGACCTTCTGATTATGTAAATTAATACTTAATAAACTTCTCTTTATATATATAAACATTTACTACAAATAAAGTATATACTTTATATATATTAATATATGTATATAAATAAAACATATACTGTATATAAACTATAGCATATCCTCTTAGTTTTTACATATATAGCATATACATATTCTTTATATCCTATTACTTTATATATACAGTATATATTTTATACATACCCTATTAGTGTAATACATATATAACATATATAATTTGTATCCTATTAGTTTATATTATGTATCATATAAATATTATATACAGGATATATACATAGGGTGTGTGTGTGTACTATTAGCTCTGTCCCTCTAGAGAACCCTAATTCAGACTTTGGTACCTGAAGTGGGGTAAAGAGGAATGGAATATTAAGGATGGAGTTCTTTCATTGATTTTGGGGTTTCTGGAGTTGGCTGCTTAATATGATTAGACCCAAAAATCCTAACAACTCTATTTCTAATAGTATAGAGAACACTGATAACCCCTGGGGTGAACTGTCTAGAGAGTTATACAAAGTAAATGCGTTTGATACTCCTGATTCACTGCTTCTGAGAGGCCAAGTTTAATGCCTATACATACATAATACCTTGGACCATATGTGGAGAACATAATGAAGCTGGTCAGTTGTTCCTAAGTTCAGTGGACAAAGTGATAAAAGAAAATCATGAAATCAGGGATTCTGTCTCCTGGCTTCAGAAAAACATACTGAAGCTCAAATCTGCCAAGACTGCCCTGAATGAGTCTTATCTTCTGTAGAGAAAGAGCTGAAATTGTGGAAAAACAGACACAAGCTCCTATCATGCAAGTGGCTGACCTGCAACAAAAGATGTATGCACAGCCTCAACAGGTATCTACTGTTAAAGTGACAGCATTAATTGAAAAAGAATGGGACCCGGAAACTTGGAATGGCGGTGTGTAGGAGGACCCTGATGAAGCTGGGGACACTGAGTTTGTAAACGCTGATGAAACTTTTTGCCAGAAAGAACAACTTCCAACCAAGCATGGTGGAAGCACACCTGTAATCTCAGTACTTTAGGAGGCTGAGGCAGGTGGATCATGAGGTTAGGAGTTCGAGACCAGCCTGGCAAACATGGTGCGTAGTGAAACTCCATCTCCACTAAAAATACAAAAATTAGCTGGGTGTGGTGGCATACGTCTATAATCCCAGCTACTCAGGAGGCTGAGGCAGGAGAATTGCCTGAACCAGGGAGGCAGAGGTTGCAGTGAGCTGAGATCATGCCACTGCACTCCAGCTTAGGCGACAGAGCAAGATTCTGTCTCAAAAACAAAAAAAGTTGGAACAGCTTCCCCATCCCCAGTAGTGACAACAAATGCTCCCTGACCCATACTGCCATCAGCCTTTCCACCTTTGTCTGAGGAGATAAAACCTGTGCTGAGTGAGGCAACAGTGATGGCCTCCCCTGACGCAGTTGCCTGGCAAAATAATGTTGATTCTTCTCAGGAGCCACCCCAACACCTCTCTTTGTTTCTAGGCCTATAACTAGACTAAAGTCCTGGTGAACATCTAGAGGTGACATGGTTGAGAGTGTGACCTATGAGAAGGTGTGCTACACTTGAAGAGAACGGTTTTGAGTTCTCTAATTTGTATACACAGAAATCTGGAGAACAAGAATGGGAATGGATATTAAGGAAATGAGATTATGGTGGAAAGATCATAAAGATAGATCAGGCTGAATTTCTTGATTTAGGCCCACTAAGTAGGGACTCTGCACTTAATGCTGCATTTCAGGGAGTCAAAAAAGTCTAACAGATCGTTTGCTTGGTTAGTTGAAATATGGATTAAAAGGTGGCCCACTGTGAGTGACCTGGAAATGCCTGATCCCCCTTGGTTTAATGTGGAGGATGGGATCCAACAACTAAGGGAGACTGGGATGGTGGGGTGGATCAGTCACTTTAGAGCTACTCATCCCAGCTAGGAGGGTCCAGAAGATATACCCTTGCCCAATGCCTTGCAAATCAGATTTGTAAGGGCAGCACCTGCATCTTTGAAGAGCTCTGTAATTGCTCCTCTCTTTATGTCAGATCTAATGGTGGGAACTGCAGTCACTCAACTACAAAATTTAAATACAATGGAAATAACTGGATCCTGAGGTGGCAGGGGCCATGTGGTGGCACTCAACTGTCAAAGGCAAGGTGGGAGTACCTACGGTAATGGACAGCAGAGGCAAAGTGGCAATCAGAAGAGTCTCACTTGTGTAGAGCTCTGGCATTGGCTAGTTAATCAGAGTATTCCTAGAGGTGAAACTGATAGGAAGCCTACTGTATTCCTACTTAATTTATAAAACCAGAAAACTTCTAGGTTGAATGGACAAAAGACTAAATTGAATAATAAAAACAGAATGACAGCCCCTCAATAAGTTTCCAGACTTGAGACAATTTACAGACCCAGAACCCCTTGAATGAAGGAGGGGTCAGGTCCACTTGAGGAAGGACCCCAGTAGATTCCCGACAATTTATGCAGTGAATCTTTCTCCCATCCTTTCCCAAGGAGACCTCCGGCCTTTTACCAAGGTAATTGTGCACTGGGGAAAGGGAAATGATCAGACATTTCGGAGACTACTGAATGCTGCCTCTGAGCTGATGTTGATTCCAGGGGACCCCAAATGTCATTGTGGTCCTCCAGTTAAAGTAGGGGCTTATGGAGATTAGATAATTAATGGAGTTCTACCTCAGGTCCAACTTACAGTGGGTCCAGTGTGTCCCTAGACTCAACCTGAGGTCATTTCCCCAGTGCCAGGATGCATAATTGGCATCAACATACTTAGCAGCTGACAGAGATCTCCGGATGGGAGAAAGATCCACTGCACAAATTGTCGGGAATCTATTGGGGTCCTTCCTCAAGTGGACCTGACTCCTCCTTCATTCAAGGGGGTCTGGGTCTGTAAACTGTCTCAAGTCTGGAAACTGACTGAGGGGCTGTCATTGGCTCCCTAACTGGTAGGGTGAGGGCTATTATGGCTATTATTAAGGCCAAATGGAAGCCATTACAGCTGCCTCTACCTAGAAAAATAGTAAATTAAAAACAGTATCACATCCCTGGAGGGATTGAGAAGATTAGTGCCACCATCAAGAAGTTGAAAGATGCAGGGGTGGTGACTGCCACCACATCTACATTCAACTCATCCATTTGGCCTATGCAGAAGACAGATGGATCTTAGAGAATGACAGTGGGTTATCCTAAGCTTAACCAAGTGGTGACCACAATTGCAGCTGCCATACCAGATGTAGTTTCATTGCTTGAGCAAATTAACACATCTCCTGGTACCTGGTGTGCAGCCATGGATTTGGCAAATGCTTTTTCCTACATTCCTGTCCACAAGGTCCACCAGAAGCAATTTGCCTTCAGCTGGCAAAGACAGCAACATACATTTACCGTCTTACCTCAGGGGTATATTACCTCTCCAGCTTTGTGTCATTGTTTTATTCTGAGAGATCTTGATCAGTTTTTGCTCCCACAAGATATCACACTGGTCCATTACATTGAGGACATTGTGCTGACTGGATCAAGTGGGAAAGAAGTAGCAAAAACACTGAACTTATTGATGAGACATCTGTGTGTCAGAGGATGGGAAATAAATCTGACTGAAATTCAGGGGCTTTCTACCTCAGTAAAATTTCTAGGAGTCCAGTGGTATGGGGGCCTGTCAGGACATTCCTTCTAAGGTAAGAGAGAAGTTGCTATATTTGGTCCTTCCTACAACCAAGAAAGAGGCATAACATCTAGTAGGCCTATTTAGATTTTGAAGGCAACATGTTCCTCATTTGGGTGTGTTACTCTGGTCCATTTATCAAATGACCGGAAAGGTTGCCAGTTTTGAGTGGGATCCAGAACAGAAGAAGGCTCTGTAACAGATCCAACCTTCTGGGCAAGCTGTTCTGCCACTTGGGCCATATGAACAAGTAGATTCAATGGTGCTTGAGGTTTCATTGGTAGATGGGGATAGTGTCTGGAGTCTTTGGCAGGCCCCCCATATGTGAATCACAGTAAAAGTCTTCAGGATTTTGGAGCAAGGCCCTGCCATCTTCTGCAGGTAACTACTCTCCTTTTGAGAGACGGTTCTTGGCCTGTTAACTGGGCTTTGGTGGAAACTGAATGTCTGACTATCGGTCATCAAGTCACCATGCGACCTGAGCTGACTGTCATGATCTGGGTGCTTTCTGACCCACTGAGCCATAAAGTGGGTCATGGACAGCAGCATTCTATCATCAAATGGAAGTGGTATATATGTGATTGGGCTCAAGCAGGTCCTGAAGGCACAGTAAGTTACATGAGCAAGTGGCTCAAAGATCCATGGTCTCCACTCCTGCCACCCTTCCCCAGCCTGTACGGATGGCCTCATAGGCAGTTTCCTATGATCAACTGACAGTGGAAGAGATGACTAGGGCCTGGTGCACAGATGGTTCTGCACCATATGCAGGCACTACCCAAAGTACACAGCTGTAGCACTCCAGTTCCTTTCTAGGACATCCCAAAGTACAGCAGTGCAGGGAAATCTTCCCAGTGGGCAGAACTTCAAGCAATGCATCTGGCTGTACACTTTGCAGGGAAGGATAAATGCCCATATGTACGATTATGTATATTTATGGGCTGTACCCAATGGGGTAGCTGAATAACCAGGGACTAGGAAGAAGTATGATCGGAAAATTGGTGACAAGAAAATTTAGGAAAAGAGATGCGCATGGACCTGCTGAGTGGTCAAAAACTGTGAATCAGATATCTGTATCCCTTGTGAGTGCTCACCAATCAGGTGACCTCAGCAGAGGAGGATTTTAATATGCAAGTGGATAGGATGACCCGTTCTGTGGATACCACTGGGCCTCTTTCCCCAGACATCACTGTCATTGCCCAAAGGGCTCATCAACAAAGCAGCCACAGTGGCACTGACCCATGGGCTCAGCAACATGGACTTCCACTTACTAAAGCTGACCTGGCTATGGCCACTGCTGAGTGCCCAATTTGCCACGAGCAGAGACCAACACTGAGCCCTCAATATGACACACCATTCCTCAAGGTGATCAGTTAGCTACCTGGTGGCAGGTTGATTATATTGGACCTCTTCCTTCATGGAAAGGGAAGAGGTTTGTCCTCTCTAGAATAGACACTCCCTAGAATAGACAAACTCCAGATATGGGTTTGTCTATGCTGCACTCAATGCTCCTGCCAAGACTACCATCCACAGACTCACAGAATGCCCTATCCACTGTCATGGTATTCCACAAAGCATTGCCTCTAACCAAGGCACTCACTTGATGGCTAAAGAAGTGCAGGAGTGGGGTCATGCTCACGGAGTTCACTAATCTTACCATGTTTCCCATCTTCCTGAAGCAGCTGGATTGACAGAAGAGTGGCATAACCTTTTGAAGTCACAATTACAATGCCAACTAGGTGACAATATTTTGCAGGGCTGGGCAAAGTTCTCCAGAAGGCCATGTATGTTCCGAATCAGGGTCCAATATATGGTGCTGCCTCTCCCATAGCCAGAATTCATGGGTCCAGGAATTAAGGGGTGGAAGTGAAAGTGGCACCACTCACCATCACTCCTAGTGATCCACTAGCAAAATTTTTGCTTCCTGTTCCTGAGACATTACGTTCTGCTGGCTAGAGATCTTAGTTTTAGAGGGAGGAATGCTGCCACCAGGAGACACAACGATTCCATTAAACTGGAACTTAAGATTGCCACCTTGACATTTTGAGGTCTTCCTACCTTTAAGTCAACAGGCTAACAAAAGAGTTACAGTGTTGGCTGTGGTGGTTAACCTGGACTATCAAGAAGAAATCAGTCTACTGCTCCACTATGGAGGTAAGGAAGAGTATGCATGGGATACAGGAGATGCATTAGGGAGTCTCTTAGTATTACCATGCCCTGTGATTAAGGTCAATAGGAAACTACAACAGCCCAATCTAGGCAGCACTAAAAATGGCCCAGACCCCTCAGGAATGAAGGATTGGGTCACTCCACTAGGAAAAGAACCACGACTAGCTGAGGTACTTGCTGAAGGCAAAGGGAACACAGAATGGGTAGTATAAGAAGGTAGTCATCAATACCAGCTACGACCATGTAACCAGCTGCAGAAACGGAGACTGTAATTATCATGCGTATTTCCTCCTCTTTTGCTAAAAACATATTTGTGCATGTATACCCTTGTACTAAGAAAATGTATTTTCTTTTCCTTTATCATGTGACATAAGATTTACTGACTGCCTATCAACTTTTAAGTATTGTTAACTTTATGTAATAATATTTGGCTTTGGGATTGGTGTGTTTTCAGTTGTACAAAGGATAGCTGTATTAGGTTAGGTGTAATAATGTCCTATTACTTTCTTTATTTGAAATATATGTATGATCTCAGGAGATATGTATGGGTTCAAGTTGACAAGGGGTAGACTTGTGATGGTTAATACTGAGTGTCAACTTGATTGAATTGAAGGATACAAAACAGTGATCTTGGGTGTGTCTGTGAGGATGTTGCCAAAAGAGATTAACATTTGAATCAGTGGGCTGGGGAAGTAAGATCCACCCTTAATCTGGAGGGCACAATCTAATCAGCTGCTATGGAATATGAAGCAGGCAGGAAAACAAGAAATGGAGAGACTGGCCTAGCCTTCTTGCCTACATCCTTCTCCCGTGCTGGATGCTCCCTGCCCTCAAACAATGGACTCCAAGTTCTTCAGTTTTGGGACTCAGACTGCCTTTCCTTGCTCCTCAGCTTGCAGACAGCCTATTGTGGGACCTTGTGATCATGTCGGTTAATACTTAGTAAACTCCCCTTTCTATATATATATACACACACACACACACACACACACACACACACACACACACACACATACACACATACGTATGCGTATTTTTTGTATACATACATATATATACGTATATATATGGATATATATGTGTATATGTGTATATATGTATATACATGTGTGTATATATATATGTATATATACACACATACATATATACGTATATATTATATACACACACACACACACACGTATATATGCATGTGTGTGTGTACATATCTATCTCTCTTCTGTTAGTTCCATCCCTCTAGAGAACCCTAATATAGTATGTTTTAATGATATCAATATTGGTGGCAAAATCAAAGAAAAGCAGAATGAGTAAATAGAAAAGCAGGAACAGTGGTTATCTTTGATGGAAAGGAAAAGGAATGTAGTCAAGACAGGGATACAAGAGCAATTACAGGATATTAAAATATTTCTATTTCTTAACCTGATGAAGAGTTCGTAGGTAGTTCATTTTATTATTTTTCTTTAAAGTTTAAATATACCTTTTATATAAGTTTGTGTTTATATGATATAATCTACTATTTATATATATATGGTTAATAATTTTTAAATATATGTCATATACCTATAGAACATGTATATAACATATATATGTAACATATATACGTAACTAATATATGATATCTATAGGAAACTACAAGCTTCCTTTAACATTTTCCCTTCTTTTATTTCTCAGCCACTTTCCATATCTTTAAGACTCTCATTGAAGGCTATCCTTTACCATGATTTCCATCATCTGAGCTAAGTCACAATTGACCATTCCCACTTTAATTAGTTAAGGTGTCTCTTAACAGAATAGAGAATATACCAATATCAAATTGTGTACCATAGTGGTACAGGCCATAAACAAAGTTAAAGACAACACTCAGAGCACAAATCAACTAGTATACATCAACAACTTTCTCTGGTTAACTCTCTTAAGGGAAGAAAAATAGTAATAGATTACTTTTGGTTATACTGCCATTTCTTTTCTGAAAATTATTTTTAATTGACAAAAATTATATATATTTATAGTATACAACATTATGTTTTGAAATATGTATACACTGCAGAATGGCTAAATCTAGCTAATTGACATGATCTCACATACTTACCTTTTTTGTGTGTGCTGACAACATTTAAAATCTGCTCTATCAGCTATTTTCAAGAATACACTACACTGTTTTCAACTATACTATAGTTTCCATGTTGTAGTACAGATTTCTTGAACTGATAACAATACTTTTAATATAACATTATAAGAAATATTTGTAAAATTTAACATTATTATATGCCACTCCAACTAAATGCTGAAGAGAGCTACACGTATCTTGGGGCCATATACAAGAAAAGTCTCTTACTATTTTGGGGATTGACCTGCCGAACAGCAGGAGCCTGCATAACAGTTCCTCGCAAGGGAGCCTGAGCTGGTGGTGCAGGAAGAGTTGTATAAACCACCTGATGGTTTGCAGGAGCTCTTGGTACAGGGAGTCTTGTGGTCACCTGAGTTACTGGACGGTGTGTTACATTCACGGTAGTTGGAGCTAATGCAAGGCAGAAAAAAAAGATATTAAGAATACAGTAAATTCTATGTTAAGCAAACATTATTTAATGGTAGTTATCTCTGCATAAAAGCTAACAATGATAAAGAAAGAAATTGAAATAACAGTCTCCTTTTGTGATCTTCTAAGATAAAAATGATAGGGCCAATAAACATTAATAATATTAAAATCCAAGCTTTGAAGGAAAAGAACACCTCTACCACACCCAATTCCCTTCCCACTCTTTGGTTTGACCAGATAATAAGTAATGTGAAGATTTTTTTTAAGTGTAGATTTAAGAGTAGGATGCCACAGGAGTGACTAAAAAGACAAAAACTTCCTAATTTTAATTGTTCTTAGCAAAGTTCTTTAATTAGTATAAGCCCTCCAGGTCTTCTACCAAGGGGGTATAAATCCAAAAGAATATCTTTGTACTCTCAAAGATCAAGAAACTGACTGGCTATTGGTAATTCATATTTATTATTCTATTCTTTTTTCTTTTTTTTTTTTTTATTTCCCAGAAGAACTGTAGAACATAAGCACACATTTATTTTCCAAGTGAGCCAACCTATCTCTATCTCATTATAATTCACATTTTGTTTAGCTGAACCAATCTATCTTTTTTTAAAAACAGTAAATAAAATCCATTAAAAAACAGACTTCTTCCTTCTCTACTCTGGCATTCCTCCTATTGTATGTTCCAGAAAGCATTAATATCTTAAGTAATGTTAATAAATGTTTATCAAAAAATGAGTCCTAAACTTTCAGACAGCATGCATCTACAATAATGATTTTTTTTTTCCCTTTGAGGTAGAGTCTCGCTCTGTCACCCAGGATGGAGTGCAGTGGCAGATCTCGGCTCACTGCAATCTCCGCCTCCTAGGTTAAAGCAATTCCCCTGCCTCAGCCTCCAGAGTAGCTGGGACTACAGGTGCATACCACCAGGACCAGCTGATATTTTTTTTGTATTTTAGCAGAGAGGTAGTTTCACCAGGTTGGCCAGGATGGTCTCGAACTCCTGACCTCGTGATCCACCTGCCTCAGCCTACCTAAGTGCTGGGATTACAGGCATAAGCCACTATGTCCCAGCTACAATAATGATTTTTAAGTAACAGTTTCTTGTTAACAACTCTCTGAATTAGAATCATATTTTACAAATAGCCATGTAGTAACTATATAATAAAAAATAATAAATCTTGCATATGGAAAAAAATGGGTTCTATAATAAAATAAATTTGGAGGAAAATATTGGTTATACCAAAGATAAAAAGGTTTCTTTACTAAAGACTCTTCAGTCTTTACAGATCCTAACTTTCAATGTGAGTTTTCAGAAAAGGGGAAGAAAGTATTGACAAGAAAGAACACTTATCTCTTTATCTCTTCACTCCCCATTCCATAATCTATGCTGCCTATGGGTTTAAACAATGACATTTCCTTCCAAAATATCTAATTTTGATGACTGTTATCATAACTTTGTATATATGTAAAGAAAGATAACACAGCTCCCAAGGTTGAACTTACTAATAACTGCCTACTTAGATAGAACAATGGTATTGAAATATGAGAACCAACATAAAATCTACACACCAGAAATAAAGTTTCATAAGCACATTCTTTTGCCTGGCAATGCCAACAAGGTAAAATATATTTTAACTGATAGGAAATTATTTTAACTGATAGATTCAACAAATCTAAACAGTCCCTACCAAAGCAACAACACATTTACTGCATTAACAATAATTTCATAACTCAAAGATTAATAATAGTTTGCTAAGTAACTTTGGAAAATATCCTGATTCCTACAAGTTACCTGGTGTTTTAGGTATATAAAATCCCACTCAATTCAATGTTTTCCTTAATGAGAAGAGTACTTATATAAGTACTGTGCAGTTAAGTCTTCAAGCAAATGGAGTGTTTTACAGAAGACAAACCATCTTGATGGGTTTCTGAACAGTTTAGGAGATACAGACTAAATCTTGAAAATGCTGAATGTAGTTCCTTGAAAGGTAGCAAGTATATGCTTCCTGATGGTAGTGTTAGACTAGTTAAAGCTATTTCAAGATAAGACAGGTGTAAAAATTCTTGGTCAATCAATTATAACTTCTTGGTCACACACAGAATAAGTCATTATATCCACCCCTTCCGAAGAAACTACACTCATTTCTGCTGTTTACAGAACATTTGCTGTGTCAGATAACAAATCTGCTAATATTAAATTTTTTGTAGAAACAGGGTTTTCACTGTGTGGCCCAGGCTGGTCTCAGAAATATAACTCAGAATAATATTATTTTCCACATTCATTAATCACCAAAGTTTTATGGATATCTATGTGAACAGTATTTTGAACAGCCAAGTAAGTTTGAGAAATACTTTATATCTTAAATCATTCCTGGAGATTTATACTATAAATTAGCATAGTAAAGGCTCAGACAAGTCTACATTAAGGAAAAAAATCAATTTAACTTTAAACTCAGCATTTCCCAAGCATATTTAATGATGGAACTTTGTATTCATGAAACACCTGTTAACACTGCAGAATAACCAGGAATATGGTTTACAGTTTCTAAATATTATAACTAACTCAGAATATTATTTTGAATGTGAATGCTTTTAAAAATTACTTCTATTTTTACTTACATAATGTTAAATAAATATATACTTTAAGTTTTCTCTATAATCATTCTTTACCAGTGCTGCTACTTAAGACAGCAAAACTAAGTTATACTGCCTTCAACAAGACATACATTGTAGTCTTCAGATTAGCAGTAAGAATTATTCTTAATTTTGTCTTATCTTTCCACTTAACTCCATAGTCATAGTTTTCTGCAGCCAAAGTAAAGCTTCTGCTCAATGATTCAATAAATTTACCTGTAGGTAGTAAGTGTATGGTGGTCTGAGATGGTCCACTTGTTGGCACCCCAGATGGTTGAAGAGGCGGTGCTGGTTGTATGGGTTGCAGTGGTCGCGACACAGGCTGAGAAGAACTCATGGTTGATACAGGAGTGTGATTTACCTTTTTGGGGTCTGTTAGTTAAAAGTATATTACAACTGATAAGAAAAAAATTAGGAAATACAAGTCTTTCTTCAATGGGTAAACTTTACTTTTGCTTGCCGTTTGGATGTCACATTTACCTCTAAGAGAACAATTTATTTCTATTTTGCTTACATGTATTTTTGCTGATTTGAAAACTGAGTTAAGAACATGCAATTCACTATCTATTTTGCTTACATGTATTTTTGCTGACTTGAAAACTGAGTTAAGAACATGCAATTCACTAGTGGTTCTATCACAGATTCTAATTCACATTTACAGAAATTCAGAAATAATCTTGTAAATTCAATACAATATGTCAAATAGAATAATTACTTGCATAAATATATAATCTACATATCTATATGAAGGATACTCTTCTAGACAAATATCTATAAATTGATGAGTTTTCTCTGTGATCTTGAATTAGTACAATTATTTAGGTTCTTTAATAACAGATGGTTGGTTATCATTACTACATAGTCTTTAAAATACACTTTGAGATTAGAAGAATGACTAATCTCAAAAAAGGGCTTCAATTGCCTATGAAATAAATATTTGCATCTTAGAAAAAAACTCTTTAAAATAGGAAACCACTATGAAGATGGTGACCCAAAAGTCCTTCTATCCAAAATAATCCCCATCAATTTATGTCCTATAAAATTCCGCACTAAATGTAAACAAAACCCAAAGCTTTTTCCAATGGATACTTTGCCATTGGAAAACTGTACTTTAAGAATGTGAGAATTTGAGACAGACCCAAAGGTGGGACAACAGAGAGACCGCATGAGGCATGGATGGTAGGGAAATGGTGAGAGCACCAAAAACAAACTTTGCAGACTTTACTTTTTAATTCAGTAGGCCTGCCTGCATCCTCTCAAAAACCTGTATTTTTTTTTCTTTAGGGGTCCATTATAAGAGTCATGGCTCTCTATAAAAAAAAAAAAAAAGTGAAAGCAACAGAGACAATTTGAAACCTTTAAAGAATAATCATACTGGCTTTAGTTCAACCCGGATGAAGGATGGCATAAATTTCTCAATTCAGTTTTAAAAAACAAAACCAACTTTACTGTCATATAACCAATTTTATAGCTATTTAACTTTTGTTTTCCTAAGCCCAACTAGACTGACTCCCCAGAATATTACTTTTAAAATATTTGGGTGTTTAAAAAAATGTAATATCTTTAAGATAATAAGTAACTCAGCATATATTTTCCACATGCATTAATAATCACCAGAATTTTACAGATATGTATGTGAACATTATTTTGCACAGCCAGGTAAGTCTGGGAAATACTTTATATCTTAAATCATTCATTTACATTATAAATTAGCATAGTAAAGGCTTAGAGAAGTCTGCATTAAGAAAAAAATCAATTTAACTTTAAACTCACCATTTCCTAAGCATGTTTAACCATGGAACTTTGTATTCATGAAACACCTATTAACACTGCAGAATAACTAGAAATATGGTTTATAGTTTCTAAATATTATAACTCAGAATATTATTATTTTGGATGTGAATGCTTTTTAAAATTACTTCTATTTTTATTTATATAATGTTAAAGGAATGTATTCAAATAATCAAAATTAAATGTATATACACTTAAATACAGTGTCTACATTAAAACATAAACAGAGAGAAAAAGAACCTTTAATGTAGAGACAGAACAGTTGGATTTGACTCCCAAGACCCTTACTGAGTCCGACTTTTTCTCTCTAAGGCTAACAAGTTTCCTCAAGTCTAAAATGAGTATTACAGCATTTTTGCAAGGTTCAAGTAAAATAACAGATACAAAACCAGAGGTACTCCACAAATTACAATATTCTCTTAATTGTCGTTTTTCTCTACAGATTGTACACTCATTTAAGATTTGATTTCTTTTTTTTTTTTTTTTTAATTTTTTTTTGAGACAGGGCCGCATTCTGTCACCCAGGCTGGAATGCAGTGGTAAAAACACAGGTCACGGCAGCCTCAACCTCCCAGGCTCAAATTATCCTCCTGCCTCAGCCTCCCATGTAGCTGGGACCACAAACACACCCTGCTAATTTTTAAATTGTTTATAGAGATGGAGTTTCACTGCATTGCCCAGGCTGCTCTGAAACTCCTGGCCTCTTGCCTCAATCCTCCTGCCTTTGCTTCCCAAAGCACTGAGATTATAGTTATGAACCACTGTACCTGGCCTTATTTTAAAATTCTAATCTAAAAACCTTCCATTCCAAAAAGAACACAAATAAACCAAGCATATGCTGTAAACATCTGTCTTCATAGAATATTGTACTGTATTAAGACAAAAAAAAAAAAGTGGTATCAAAGCATTCCTTGTACAATTACTATTGAAGTACCTTGTGAAGCTCCACTATCTTCATCATCCATTGTGAGATCAATGACACCACTTGAATCACTGCCAGTGGCTTTTCCGCTCTGAAAAACAAAACTTCTACGTTTTGCAAAGAAAACTCTGGCAGATATACATGTTAAAAAATGAAATGATAAGTGAGGTAAAATGAGACTAATGAGTAACCTGGTTCAATCTGGACCCCTACATGGCTGTACCTGAATAAACAGAGTTTGTCAGACAAATGACACAGGATACTCATGAGTTAAACATCTACCATATGAAATATAATTTTCAAAAGAAATTCAAGAAGTTTTATTTAAAAAATTAAGCTGTTGCATACAGCAAATAAAGTGATTCAACACATTTTTCATTTTGTGACATTTAAAATGTTGATCAATACTACTCTGAATTATCAATATTAATTCACCAAAACACCAAAGGCAATCTTTAAAGCTAGAATTGAATTACAGAAAATAATCTAAAGTTTTTGCTTTAAAAAACAGTATGGTATGGTATGAAATGATACAGTACCCTATGCTACTTAACTGTACAACCAAGTTGACCAGTCAACCCATCATCCAAAAATCATTAGAAATATTAGGATTAAAAGAAAAACCTTTAAGAAATCACATGATAGCAACCGACAAGGAAGGTAAGACAATATAGATCTAAAGAGGCAGGACTCTGAAGTCAGAAAGGTTGAGTGTGTCTTATAGTTCTCACTTATTAGCTATCTGATTCAGATAGGTACTTACCTCAAGTTCCAATATCTGAATATTGAGGCTATTGTGAGGATTAATCCAAATGTGTATATAAGGGGCTTAACACAATATATAATACATAGCAACTGCTTAATAAATAATAATCACAATTTACTTTGACATACTGAAGTCAATTCCAAATGATAAAGGCTTTCATCGGCAAAACTCAAGTTGATAAATTAAAGAAAATAATTCCTTGATTTTAGAATATCCAGGCCCAATCCCAAGACAATAATGGAATTCTAATTCTTATACATCTTTCTATAATAATGATTTCACAGAAAATGGGTTATTTACAAACACCAAAAATCTATAAAATCCCAAACTAAAAAATCCCCAAAATCATCAATGAATGTAAAATAATCATTCACTACAACATATTATCTGTAAGGTCCAGTTTTCCAAAAGAGGAACTAACTTAGGATGAAAAATAATACCAACTGACTCTAAGCAGAACCAGATATTACATTCAGCAGATAAAATACTTGCAAGCAGCTATTAAAAATATGTTCAAGGCCAGGCACAGTGGCTCCAGTCTGTATTTCTGGCACTTTGGGAGACCGAGGCAGGTGGATCACAAGGTTGCGAGTTCAAGATCAGCCTGGCCAACACAGTGAAACCCTGTCTCTACTAAAATCACAAAAATTAGCTGGGCATGGTAGCAGGCACCTGTAATCCCAGGTACTTGGGAGGCTGAGGCAGTAGAATCACTTGAACCCAGAAAAGTGGAAGCTGCAATGAACTGAGATTGCACCACTGCACTCCAGCCTAGATGACACAGCAAGACTCCAACTCAAAAAAAAAAAAAAAAAAAAAAAAAAGTTCAAATAATTAATTAACAATGAATACACAAACAGGAAATTTCATGAGAGGAAAAGAAACTGAAAAAATTTAAATAATAGAGCTGAAAAAATAATTACAAAAATAAAAATTATGTAAGCATAAAAGCAGATTGCCTGGGGCAGGAAAAACTCAAATGAAACTGATGCTAGATCAATATAAATTTTCTAGTCCATAGGACAGAAAGAAAAACAGAATACAAAAAACACCTGAAATTTGTGCAATAAGAAACAATTCAGCAAAACCCTAAATGAGAAGAAACAAAGAGCTAAAAAAGAATTAATAACCAAAACTTCCCACATTTGGTAGAAAACATTTACTTACAAATCCAAGAGGTTTAATGAACCTCAAGCAGATGAAACACTAAGAAGTCCGTAAGTATACACATCATAGTAAAAATATTGAAAACCAATAATGAAGCATTTTGAAAGTAAACAGAGAAAATTACATGTTACATGGGAATAAAGACTAACTGCTAACTACCAGTTAGAAACTATGGAAGCAAAAAGACACTGGAACAATATATTTAAAGTACTGATTAAAAAAAAAAAAAAAAAAAAAAACCTTTAAGAATTCTATATCCAATGAAGCTCTCCTTGAGAAAAGGAGACAAAAGACACAAATGTACATTTTTTAGATATTAAAAAACCAAGAGAAAGCATTACTAGCAGATCTACACTGCACAGATGAGCATAAGGAAATACTTCAGTTTGAAAGGAAATACCAACTTGGATCATAGGAAAAAGAGAACCAGAAAAGGCAAACATAAGTACAAATATTAAGATTATATTTCTTTTCTGTTCTTAATTTCTTTAAAATTCTATAAGGCAACAATTAAAAAAATATATATATTTAGATATCTACAACATGTAGATTAAAAATAATTTCACATATGTGCAAATAAGACCACAATACATGTGAAAACATGAACACGATATTTAAGGAAAGCAACTGCATTAAGGAGGTAAATGTACACATACAATTGCAAGGTTATATAATTAAGATTCAGATACATACTGTAAACTCTAGAACAACCCCTAAAACACACACACACACACACACACACACACACACACACACACACACACACAGAGCAACCTAGAAAGCTAACAGAGGAATTAAGAGAATGTTTAAAAAAAAAAAAAAAAAAAAAAAAAAACTGATACAAAATAAAGCAGGAAAAAAGGCACAGAAACCAACAAAAAAAGAAAACAGATGAAACCAACAGAAAATAGAAAAATAGCAGACCTAAGCACAATCCTATAAATACTTATATTAACTATAAATGGTCTAAAAACTCCTATCAAAATGTAGAGATTATCAGATGAGATAACACCACAACAAATCAAGAAATATGATGTTTTTTTCTCTTACAGATTCACTTTAAATACAAAAACACAGACTGAAACTAAAAAAGCTAAAAAAAAGTAACATGCAACAATAAGCATAAAGATGCTGCTCTATGTTAATACCAGAAAGAGAGACAAAGAGGGAACCTTTATAATGATAAAAGTATGGCAAGATTACAAATTATACATTATTTTTAAAAACCATGTAATACAGCGTCAAAAACCTATGAAGCAAGACTGCCAAATTAAGGGAAAAAAATAGATTTACAATCATATCACTTTTAGTAATAGATAAAACCACTACAGCAAAAGGCAATAATCCGTAAACACATAATCCAAATTACACTATCAACCATGCTATATTGACATTTATAAAACATTACACCCAACAGTAGAATACATACTCTTTTCAAGTGTAGTGATACATTTACTAAGATATATACCATATATGGGGCTTTATAACACACATCTAATTTATATGAAAGTAACAAAGTCATACAGAGGATATTTTCTAAACCCAATAGCATTAAATGAAAAAAATCAATAATAAAAAATTTGCAAAATCCCCAAATATTATGAAATTAAACAAATTACTAACTAACCCAGGACCCAAAAGGAAATAAGGAACTACATGAAATAAAAATGCAACACATGAAAATTTATGGAATGCAGCCAAAGCAATACTCAAAGGAAAATGTATATCATTAAATGCTTATTATATAAGTCAAGATCTACAAGCAATGTTTTAGTGATAAATTATGATTTTTATTGATCATAAGCTGGCAGATACAATTTATCTATTATCATACACTATGAGTAGTTTCCTGAACAGACTCTTTTTTGACGAATAAAATGGGTAAATATTTCAGTAACTATTAAATACATTTAAAAGATAATTATGATAGCTAACACTAGACCTATCAGTCTCTGTGCTAAATGCTTTACATGCATTAACACATTTACTCTTCGCAATATTTCTACATGGTAAGTACTAGCTCTATTTTATAGGTGAAAAATCTAAGGTGCCCAATAACTTGTCAAAGCACACTATTAAGTAACTGGCTCCAGGTTGTCTGACTGTAAACCTTATTATTTCTTTTTTTTTCCTACCCTCCCCCCGACCTTAATATTTCTATGCCACTAGGTGGAAATGGACACACACACATACACACACACACACACACACACACACACACACACACGTATGTATCTTTACATTTTTTTTCTGAGAAAACGTTATGTCTGAAATCTTATCTAATCAGAGACACATTTCTGTGTTTACACATATTACTGAAGCCTTCAGTTTGAAATCATTAAAAAAAAATTGTATCAAATGGTCAACACTAGAAATGTATTTTATTAAAAACTTAGCTATTCACGTGTTATTTCCCAAAATGACCAGTCTCAATAAGCAAACACTAAGAAAATTTTAAGAGAGCAAAGATACTAGCTTTGTAGCCTTTTTGTAATGAAACAATAATATTCTGGAAAGGCACACTTCAGCAAATGTGAAGAAAGAGTTAACACAGAAGAGCTGGTTGTTCATTCCTTGCACATCTCTCCAAGCGAAGTTGGAACCATAACTGAGACTTGGTTAGTTATCAGGAATGTTGCTCTTGGAAGGTCATATTAACAATTAATTCTCTTATATACACTCTGAACAGTGAACTGTGCTATATTGGTTCATCAGGATTGCTTTGCATAAATATGAAGATTGATGATGCACACTTGGGTTTCACTGTTGGGATCCTGAGTTTCCAATGCCATGGCCAGCGATGTAGAAAAACGTCACTATGTGACCAGACCTCCAAAAAACCTCAGACCCTAAGACTCAATCAGGCTTCTCTGGGAAAAAGACTCTTGGCACATGTCTCTAAGGTTAATAAGCCAAAGAAAAAAACAAATTCTGTGCAATCCCAGACAGAAGACTTGGAAGTCTTTGCCTGATCTTTCTGCACATTTTTCTTCCTGTTGCTTTTGCTCTACACCTTTTGCTGTGACGAACCATAACGATAGTATAGCCTGCTACTGTATTTCTAGCTAAATACTGCTAAATCCTTCTAGCAAATCAGATCCTGTGTCCCTCAAAACAACAATTACAGATAGCAACACTATTTTATAACACATGTTGATAATCTGAATAAATTTGTTTTTCACTATATAAAATAATAATATATAAAATGATATATAGTAACAAAATACACAATAATAAATTATATGTAATATGTTAATAAACACTTATTTGGGGATATTAGATAAATCTTCATTTAACAACTACAGAAATAGAATATTTTACAGATTTCATCATTTGCTAATCAATTACAGCTGAACAAGCATTTCCACACTAGACATCCAAGTTTCTTTTCTTTTCTTTTCTTTTTTTGAGACACAGTCTTACTCTGTCACCCAGGCTGGAATGCAGTGGTGATATCATGACTCACTGCAATCACCTCCTCCCAGGTTGAAGTGATCCTCCCACCTCAGCCTCCCAAGTAGCTGGGATTACAAGCATGCACCACCACATCCAGCTAATTTTTGTATTTTTAATAGAGACAGGGTTTCACCATGTTGGCCAGGCTGGTCTCAAACTCCTGACCTCAAGTGATCCGCCTGCCACAGCCTCCCAAAGTGCTGGAATTACAGGGGTAAGACAGTGTGTCTGGCCTTAGATGTTCAGATTTCTTCTGATCTAAATAGCCTTTAAGTGTTAAGAAGTACAACTAAGTAGGCTTGGCATAGAAAAAAGAAGTTAGCCAATTATATTTACAATGTGACAACTGAAAGAATCACAGGCTACCTTTTTCACACTCGTTTCTATCTGCTAGAAAGTTGCACATTAAGGTAAAAAGCAAATAAGAATTACTCAACAATATAACACTAATAAAGGTATTTATCACAATGACAAAAATGATATTTGTTTCAAAAACTGTAGCTGGCAAGCATAACTTCATAACTGAAAGCACATATACACTTCCATTATGGCTTCTTATTACATAATAAAACTCTCCTTTAATTATATTTATTATTCACATCCATAATTGACACTGATTCAAACCTGAAATTTGGTTATTTTTGATAAGGCAGGCTAGCTGATCAAACTGCTTGTATGTGTTTTTTATACTAGGATATTAAATTCCTCTTCCTCTAAGCCAAATAAAATATCTATTGAGAGCTTAATATTAAGTTGTAGTATCACTTTGCTGTTGGGATTCACTCAGTGTGGTTGGCAAAATATTAAGGGAAATATTAGGGAAAATTGTAAGATTATAATCTCAAACCTTTTGGAAGGCCGAAAGTTTTCATTAACTTGTAATCATGGGACAGACTGAAGGCAGCTTGGTCCTTACCTTAAAGCATTAGGTCACAGGGTGAGGATTAGGGATAACAGAAGCTTCCGCTGTTAAGTCTGTTAAACCCACATTCCTTTGTCTCTACTCTAACTACTTGTTTACTCTTGTAAACTTTGTGCAGATGGCCTTGGCCTTCTCAGGGGGAGGTTAATGGTGTTTGTTCTGGGCCCCCTGGTAATCAAAGCTTTTATCATTTGTAAAACCACTCTTTTAACCATGTTGATTATCCACGAGTGTGTTGACTTAGATCCTCTGTCATTAAATCTATACTGAATATATGTGAGAACAACATGTAGTAAGGGGTCGGGTAGCTGCAATGGCCCTCTGAGAGCGGCTGACAACCTCCCTAGCCCACTCATTCACTGTACTTTTTGTGTTTGAGTGTATTTATTCATCTGCCTCAGAGTCAGGGTTTGCTGGACAGAATCCTGCAGGTGGTAATCAACGTCTCAGGTGATGATGACCTCAACATAACCAACACCACACTTTGCTTTCTGATGAAGTCAATTCCTGTTTCAAGTGGTGGTGGTGCTTTTTTTTTTTAAGTTTCTTCTTTTCTATAGAGACAGGGTCTCACTTTGTAGTCTAGGGTGGTTTCAAACTCCCGGGCTCAAGTGATTCTCCTATCTTGGCTTCCCAAAGTCCTGGGATTATAGACGTGAGCTACCACACCCCACCTCAAGTGTCATTTATATTATATCCATTTTAATTTCACTTATGTATTTATGATGTTACATATACTATATATATATTTTTTTTTTTCAGATGGGGTTTTGCTCTTTTGCCCAGGCTGGAGTGAAGTGGCGCAATCTCAGCTCACTGCAACCTCTTCCCCACTAGGTTCAAGCAATTCTCCTGCCTCAGCCTCTCAAGTAGCTGGGATTATAGGGGCCTACTACCACACCCAGCTAATTTTTGTATTTTTAGTAGAGATGGATTGTCCCTATGTTGGCCAGGCTGGTCTTGAACTCCTCACCTCAGATGACCTACCCCCGCTCAGCCTCCCAAAGTGCTAGGATTACAGGTGTGAGACATCATGCTCGGCTACATATACTATATTTCAGCAAAATACTCTATAGACAGTACAGTTCAATACAACTTTTTGCAATGATGAAATCAGTCTGTATCTGTGTGGTCTAATACGCTAGCCACTAGCCATTTGTAGCTACTGAACCTTGAAATGGGGTTACTGTGACTGAGGAACTGAATTTTTAAGTAGCTACATGTGACTAGTGGCTATCGTATTTAGCACAGCTCTAGAAGAACCACCATTTATAAAATGACAAAAGGCAGCCATTATAATGTCTATTTTCCTTTCCTTGAAAATACTACCTGTTTAAAAAAAAAAAGAAAACTCACTGAGTAGAGATGTTCATAAATTCTTTGTTTAAAGTTTATAAAGTACAAGTGGACTTCCTATAAATGTCACAGAAGTTATCACTGAATATATCAACATTTTCTATACTACATGCCTTCTAGAAAGTACCTCAATCTTCTAATTTTAATTGAAAACATAGTTATAATCCACAAGACATGCTCAGAAACAATCACAACTTTAATCTTTAATACTATATACAAAGACTGCTAACATCTGTAAGAAGTAAGATTTTTTAATAGCTTTTATTTGATCTATAAACAATGACATATATCTAGGTTGGTCAAAATCTATCATTTTTAAAGAAAAAACTCGTATTTAAAGATCAAATGATGCCCTTGTTTTAAAATTCTTGTCATTTTTTCATGCTTGACATGCTTGAGATTTTTGTTCTGCTAGGAATAATTTATGAACTCCTTGAAATGATTCAAAGGAAGTGAAGAAAATAAAACTATCAACAACCTAATCACTTTACTATAAATTGATTATTCCTAAAGTAACAAAGAACAAGAAAGAACACTGTTAATACAGGAAAGAAGTCGTTACTCTATTACTGGGTGGTTAAAATTTAATACGAAAAAGTACAAAGAGTGGCAAAATGCTAATAAACTACCAGACAGACAAAAAATTCTTCCTCAAAAGATACCTCTGATTACCTATGAAGAAATAAAAATGTTGGTAGGGGTAGAGGGTGGCATAAGTGAGGGTAAACCAGTGAGACACTCTTAAAAAAGATGCACCTGGATTAAATGACATGTGTTTTCTTTTTGCAGATAACCTTTACAGTGTAAAACGTCAACTGTATTAATCCAGTCAGTTAATAGAATAAACTAATTATTACCTCTAAGAACTGCTATGCAAAAATAAAATAAGGCAAAACAAAAAAAAACCTCAATTCTTGTCAAACATTATAGAAAACCTGTGAGACAATTTTTGGACAGTTATAAAAAACAGACATAGAACAATTTTTATTCAATCAAAGAATGATGAAAATTCATTTTCCTGTGGGCAATAATTAGGATTTTTACTTTGAAGAAGAAGGAAAAATCTTACCTGTGATGTGCTATCAGCTGCTTTCTTATTAACAGAAACATCTATTGTTTTGTTTGTCTGGTTTTCTGAAAAGTTTAAAAAAAAAAAGCCACTTTTAAAAACATCTACAAAATGTAAAAAGCTAGGCTGCTTTATATACAAAAATTCACATAGTTTTCTCCAACTATTTTTCTGTCAACATGTCACATATGTAAATAAAAGCTCAAACTCAGATCACTGCTATAGTATCTTTCAGAAGGGGAAATTCACAATACAGATTAAAAAAAACTTTCTACTGCCCCCGCAATTTTAACTCTAAGCAATATCTCATGAAAATAATTTAAGATATACATAATTTAAATGTTCTAACATGAGGAAACAGTTAAACAAAATATAATTTTTCCATACTATGTCCCTTTCGAGAAAAAAATTTAATATGTAAAAACTGTTTGCAATAAATTCAGTAGAAACAGATGCAGTAAATCCAAGAAAATACACATGCATATCTCTCAGTAAGTTCAATCACCGGTGATTTTTCTTTCTTTGTTCATTTTTCAACTAACTTGTACTGAGTTTGCAGTTAAAAAATAATGTTACTTCCAGAACAGCACAGAAAACAAACCAAGTATGTTTTGCCCCAATTTCTAATGGGAGGAAAAGAGAGAATGTATTAATTTTATCAAAGGTCTTTTGCACCTATTGAGATTATTTACGTTTTCCTGTTTGGTAACAAATATTTTTTAAATGTTGAAACAGCCCATCCTTTCTTTCTGGAGACAAAACCCTCTTGGTCAAACTGTGGCACTTCTTTCATTTGCAAATCTTCAGAATGCATACAGAGTAAACAATTTATGTTTTTAAAAATACAGGAGATTAAACTACCTATGTATTTCCATATGTACATATATAAATCTGCATGTCTAAAAAAAATCAAGTTGGTAAGTATGAACCTGTTAAAAGAGGTATTCCACGGTACAGAAGTTAAAAGGATGCCTTTGATTTCTCCCTACCTACCTTGTCTGAATAATTTTCTTTTTGTAAGAAGAATATATTAATATATTATTTATTGAAATATATATTCAAATTATTTATTACAAATGAGCATCTGTTTTGGACATGGTTGACATGTGCTCGCGCTCGCGCTCTCGCTCTCGCTCTCTCTCTCTCTCTCTCTCTCAACAGGGACTTCCTCTGTTGCCCAGGCTGGAGTACAGTGGCATTACCATGGCTCACTGCAGCCTTGACCTCCTCAGTTCAAGCAATCCTTCTCCTTCAGCCTCTGAATAGCTAAGACTGCAGGCACGTGTCTAATTTTTTATTTTGTGTACAGATGGGGGGTCTCACCATATTGCAAGGCTTGTCTCAAGCTCCTGAGCTCAAGCCATCCTCCTGCCTCAGCCTCCCAAAGTGCTGGGAATACAGGCATAAGCCACCATGCCCAGCAAACTCTAGTGTTCTAATAGTCTTAGAACAAGATGTTTAATGAAATTTGAGAGTGTACATTGTATATGGATTGTATATAGCTCTCCTCCATATCTGTTCTTTCTTTAATGTCTAGTTTAGTAAACAGAATGGCATTGAGCAATGTCTTAGAAATCTGAGTCATCTTTGAGTTCTCCATCTCTTTTACACATCTGAACTCTTATTAATAAATTACCAAGTACTGTCAATGCTACCTCTTGAGTAACTTTTAAATCTTTTTGATATCACCATCTGTCATCTCGTACACTACAAGAGCCTTCAGACTCCTAACTGGTCTTCCTAACATATTCTTATCCCTTCTAAACCATTCTCCATACTGAAACCAGGGTTCATGGAGGTCACATCACCCACTAGAAAAACCCTTTAACACTGTTTCCCCCATTCTTCCATTCATTACTTCATACCCTTTCCAGATTTCCCATTTTCAATTTTGTCCTCAGAAAAACCTGCAAATCCTAACACTCATCACATTTATAATTAATTAGTTATTTAATGAACACATTCCCTATTTGACTGTAAGCTTGGTGAGATCGTAGGGACTATTTTATACATTTCTGTGTATCTATAGAACCTAATATAGGCATTCTTTACTTTATGAATCAAAGAAAATTCATTATAATTTGAGCTTTAAATTTCCAAGCCCTGAGGAGGGTATTTACTTCACTATACACAGAAAACACTGATTTAAAATCCATAAAAATACACTAAACTATAAGAAAATACACACAAATGCATGAACATATAGCCTATGTTCTTATTAAGTAAATATAATACCTACAAAAGTATAGAGCTTAGAAAATCTTAATTATATAACCTAATTAATTTGTCACAAACTACTAAATGTAGTAGAGATGTAGTTAAGTTTGGCTTCAGTTTAGGTTTTGGAAAGCCTAAACAGCCAAAGGCCTACTTTAATGTCATTTATGGTACTGTTGAAATTATGCATGGTCAAAGAACATATGTTCTCATAAGATCTCATTTGAGTTAACATTATGAAAAAGAAAAGCTTGGCATTCACATTTATTCATTATCAAATGTAAGTGTAAGCATTCTAAATGGAACTTGAAGATCTTAATATAATTATATATTAAAAATATGTAAATGTGTTAAACGTATATGTTAAAATATACAATTTTATGTTTAGAAATAATTGTATATTATCTCAGAATGCTTTACCAATTAATGATTGTAAAAACTTACTTTTATACACAAAAAACTCAGAATAGTCAACTAAACAGACTGACGTGCATTACTAATAGAGTACATCAACTAGATAATTTGGGGAATATATCCTTTCTATAAAAAATTTAAGAACGGAAAAATCAAATTACAATTCTGACACTTGTAGAAGTGTTTTGAGTACGAGCATAACATTAACAAAATACACTTATTTATTTCTTTTCAAGCCATGGTTTTTCAGGAAAAGTTCTATATTTAAGAATTTATCGGCCGGGCGCGGTGGCTCAAGCCTGTAATCCCAGCACTTTGGGAGGCCCAGGTGGGTGGATCACGAGGTCAAGAGATCGAGACCATCCTGGTCAACACGGTGAAACCCCGTCTCTACTAAAAGTACAAAAAATTAGCTGGGCATGGTGGTGCGTGCCTGTAGTCCCAGCTACTCAGGAGGCTGAGGCAGGAGAATTGCCTGAACCCAGGAGGCGGAGGTTGCGGTGAGCTGAGGTTGCGCCATTGCGCTCCAGCCTGGGTAACAAGAGCAAAGCTCCGTCTCAAAAAAAAAAAAAAAAAAAAAAAAAAAAAAGAATTTATCTCCTTTCACAACCATGAATTTAAAACAATGTCAACTTTGCCAAAAAATATCATAAGGAGGAAAAACCAAAATTACATAAAACAATGTCCATCACTAAATCATCTAACATTAAAAATTACTAAGAACTAAAAGAAAAAGAAATTACAGGAAAATGAAGCATCACCCAAAAACCTTGTATGTCCACTGACCTCAGTTAAAAGCAAGCATCTCTTTTAGTGTTGTAAACGTGTAAGAATGTCCAAAAAATAATGTGGTAGCAGATAATGCTAACAAACATTTGTCCCTATACTATGCAAACATTTAAATTGTAAATACTATAAATAATAATTGCACTTTCATATAAAACATTAGTTTATTCTTATAAATATGATGAGAGTGATATCCAGCTTCAATCCAATATTAATTTTGATCTGCCACTCATTTACTTACTTTACAACTCTGTGAAATACCATCACTGTTTTATATGAGAAAACACTTAGGGAGTAAATGCACTAGTAATGGGTATATGACAAATGAAAGCTAAGGCTTGTACATCTCACTTATAAAAGTAATTTTGCACTTTAGAATTTGTTTCCTATATTACATGGTCACTTATGACATCAATAAGAAAGATACTATAGCAATTTTACTATACACATGATGCCTACACTTGCCTGCCTTTCCGAAAGTAGTGCAGATAAATAAGTCAGAAATGAAGAATAAGCAAGTTTAAGAATGCATACAAAACAAACTCTTTCTAGGAACTACGAAGACACAGAGTTTGGCAGATTTTAAACAGGTATAATCAAGTTCTCCTTTTTGCAATATTTCTAAGTCAAATACAAACAATCATATAGTATGTCATATGGGAAAACAGAAAAAACAAAAAGGACTCAAACATTTTATAGTAAATGTGAGAGAGAAACCTATTTTTAAGTTGTGCAAATTTGGAAGAGATGAATGAATGCACAAAGGATTTTCCAAACGGGTAAGGAACATAAACGTGCCTTTATTTTTTTCTTAAAAGCATATATTATGTAAATTTGATACTTTAAAATGTATTTGTTTTAGACAGATATTGCTAGCAAATGTATCATAAAAGTAACTCATAATGCTTGCTACAAAGCCATAAATTAAAAATTCACCAATTAGGAAAATTACTAAAAGATAAAACACAGATGCTAACTTCCAAATAAAAAACGAACCCCCTTTCTCAAGCCCCATTTTAGCAACATAATTTCTCTCAGGTATCTAAAAAATTACTAAAAATAATGAAGAAATTCTGTTTACTTTGTTCTTTCAATATTGCCAGCCACTTAGAGAAAAAAAAACTTCAATCGTTACAAGGTTATTAACATGCTTGCGTTTCTAGTATTAAACCTACATGGTGACTTACCAATTCTTGGGTTAGTAGTGCTGTTCTGTTCTGCAGGAGATGAAGTACTAAAAGCAGAAATTGGAATTTTCATCTGTATAGGACCTCGATTATTTGATGGACTATAGAGTCCTGATGGGCCCACTGTGGGTAAAGAAGTCCTTGTGGCTTGTACAATAGAGTGTGCCGTTGGAACAGCCTGCACAGCGAGTGTTGTTCCCAATGGTGCAGCACTGGCAGTAGGGTTCCTTTGAATACTAGGACTGGGCACAGAAGGAACGTTGTTTGGTTTAGTGGGATTTGGCAAGGATGGCAAGGATACTGGATTTTTGGTAAGACCACTCACTGTAGGTGGGCTTTGCACAGAAATGAATTCTACATTGCCAGATGGTTGATTAGTCACCAAAGTCCCTGGATGGCTCTGTAGAAGCTGAGGCTGGGAGGATACTGCAACAGGTACATGCAAAATTACTGGCAAAGATTGCAAAGAGATTGTAGGTTGGGGATTTCCACTAGGCACCTGAGTAGTAGCAACTACAGCAGCTGTATTGGGTGCAGGAAGAACTGATGTTGCTGTCAGGGAACCCGAAGTTACTGGAGTCTGCAACTTAGGTTGACTACTGACAACTGTTGGAGGAGTGACAAGGTTGGTTGAAGATACTATAGAAAGAAAACAGAAGTCTCAGTTTAAATGGTTACATTAATTTATCAGCTAAGAAAATATGACAGATACAAATTAAATACATTGCATTAGGTACTGTAAAGTCTTTCATCATGAAAGTTTGTTTTTTCCAGATATAAATTCTGAAATTTAACTTAGAATTAAATTCTTGGAAGGATTTTGCATGTAGGTTTAGTATAGTACAAAAACAGCACATGATTGACGATTAATACGCAAGACTGCTGAGTAACAAAACGGTCTCTGAAAATTACTATAATCACTTCAGAAACCTAACTAGTAAACAAATAAAAAATACTAAAAAGTGGGTAAAAATGCATTGAAACTACATTAAAAACATTATAAATGCCTTATAACACAAGTAATATATAAACTCAAATAATAAATCTAAAAAGAGTCATGACAATTAATAATAGGTAAACTTATTCATCATATTTTATCATTTGAACCATGTCTGTATCTTTGGATCAAGTTTGACTGAATTCCCAGGGCGAGGAGTTATCTTCCCCTACTGAGAGGCAGTTCCCTCTATTGACACCCTACTGACATTGTATGATATGAAAAATAGCACTGAGTGAAGATGACAGATGAATTAAGAAGAAATGAGAAAGCTTATACAGAAGAACAGAGAAAATACAAATGGTGGTCACTACAGTTTTATAGTAATTTTCAACTACTTGTGCTTATTCTCATTGGAATGGTTTTAAAATACACGATCAACCTTCTTTCTCATTGATTTATAGTCTTTCCAATCAGGCACACCAGAGCAGCAATTCTCAAAGTGTAGCCCAGGGGGATGCCTGGGGTTTTCTGAGACCCTTTCAGGGAGTTTGCAATGTCAAAATTATTTTCATAATAAGACATTATTTGCCTTTTTCAATGAGCAGACATTTGCACCAATGGAGCAAAAGCAATGGTGAGTAACACTTCTGATGCTTTAGTACAAAAATCAAGGTAGTTTAACGGGACCAAACTCGCTGCATTCTTTATCATCACATGCTTACAGTAAAAAACAAAGTCAGTTTTACTTAAGAATCCCACGATCAACAGTAAAAACTATTAGCTTTATTATATCTCAACCTTTAAATAGGGGTTCTTTTCTTAATATTCCATGTGAAGAAATAGGTATACATATAAAACAACTACTGCATGCCAAAGTAAAATGGCTAACTCAAGGAAAAATGCTTGTGCAATTGAGCTATAAACTAAACCAGCAGTCTTTTCCATCAAAGACTATTTTTAGTTGAAAGAATGATCTACATGCACACTGATGATTCACATGTGGGTATTTTTAAGATCTTCTCTTAAAAATAAACTAGGTAAGGCAGTCACTTCAAAGAAAAAAGCCCAACTGTATTTATCAGCAATTATAACATTTGAATTTTAATAAAACTAAGAACATCAGAAAACACTTATATCTGTCACTGAAAGCATGAAGCTCTCTAAATCCTTAAAATACTTCTCTGAGTAGAACTGATAGTAAAATCAGTAAATGTAATTTTTAAAAATAATATTTATTAATAAAATATGTCAACATTTGGAAGATTTGCATAACTTAATGAATAGTTTTCAAATGACCAATGAATGATATTAGTAAAATTCCATCCAAGTACAAGATAGGTGAATAGATTTAAAACAAGGTTTGCCTCTATTGCCCAGGATAGAGTACAGTGGCACAATCTCGGCTCACAGCACCCTCCACCTCCAGGGCTCAGGTCATCCTTCTGCCTCAGCCTCCCAAGTAGCTGGGACCACAGGTGTGTACCACCATATCTGGCTACTTTTGTATTTTTTTGTAGAGATAGAGTTTCACCATGTTGCCCCGGCTGACCTTGATCTCCTGAGTTCAAGCAATCCACCCGCCTTGGGCCTCCCAAAGTGCTGGGATTACAGGTGTGAGCCACCACACTTGTTCAATAAACGGATTTTAATGGAAGGACAAGAAAATTTATTTGGTGTGATTTCAGATTACACTTCACAATTAACCTTAAAGAAACTACTACTTGATAATATCAAAGAAGAATATCCACAATTATCTGTAAGGGCTAGTCCTTTCCATCTACATATTTGTATAAGACTAGATTTCCTTCACATGCTTCAGCCAAATCAACATTTTAAAACAGACCAAAAGCAGATATAGATATGAATATACAGCTATCTTTAGTTATCTTGACGTCTTAAAGTATAAGAGATTTGTAAAAAATGTAAGAGAATAATGCTCTTTGTGCTGCTATTTTTAAGCTTGGAAAATACATTTAGTTTCATTTTTAAAAGTTTTTTTCTGTTAGACATTATGGGTTTACTATTACTTTATTTATTTTTATTATTATTATTGTTATTTTTTTAGAGGAAGTCTTGCTCTGTCCCCTAGGCTGGAGTGCAGTGGCATGATCTCGGCTAACTTCAACCTCCACCTCCCAGGTTCCAGTGATTCTCCTGTCTCAGCCTCCTGAGTAGCTGGGATTACAGGCACCAGCCACCATGCCTGGCTAATTTTTGTATTTTGGTAGAGATGGGGTTTCAGTATGTTGGCCAGGATGATCTCGAACTCCTGACCTCAGGTGATCCACCCACCTCATCTCCCAAACTGCTGGGATTACAGGTACAAGCCACCACACCTGGCCTACCATTATTTTGAATGAATAAACATTTTTAAAATATGTTTTAATTTGTTTAATTTCTACTTCATTTCAAATAACAAATATCAATTGATATAACCCACATAAATAAAAGCTCTGGGGTTCTTAATAATTTTTTCAGATCGTAAAGGGATCAAGAGACCAGAAAGTTTGCAAACTACTACAGTAGAGATTTGAATATCTATACTGTATTTCATGTATACTTATCTAGGATCCTAAATTTTTTTGTTTTAAGAGACTGAGTAGATTTCACTATGTTGCTCAAGTTGACTCAAACTCCTGGGTTTGGGTGATCCTCCTCAGCCACCCAAGTAGCTGGGACTATAGGCATGTGCCACCATGCCCAGTTTGATCCTGACTTTTTAACAAAACTTTTGTACTCAGATCAATGTGCCCAATTTTTTAATCCATTTCAACCTCAAAAGAATGTAAGAAAAGAGAACCAAAGCCTTTAATTCCTAAGAAAATGTATTTTTGTATTTAAAAAAAAGTTACCTGTATTCACAGGAGTTTGAAAGGATGGCGGTGCACTCTCGCTTACATTTCTTTTGGACTCCAGCATCTGTCTCACTGTGCCTGCATTTCTATGAAATACATATACACACAAATAGTCAATAGATATGCCACTCTGGGAATACCAACTGATATCTAGAATAAGCAGTGGCCCATAGGGAAAAAAGGGTGGCTAGACTTGGGTTTCACAACCTTAAACCACAAGCAAATACGGTGAGGCATAGCTGGCACAAAGACTTCTAAATGCTGGGGTCTACGGCATTAGGGAACAGTCTTAACTCTTGCACTGTAATGTCTGTCATCAATACTTAACCTGAATACCAAAAGTAGGTCCTAACATATACAAACATTAGTCTTTCCCGCCCTTAAGAGAAGCATTTCTCAATTACTTGAAAGAATACTATTTAAGACAAGTGGTTAAAGAAATACATAGTGACCACAGAATGCCTTTTAAGTTAGTGAAAGTATTATTCACAGATAAACAATATAACGAAGCAAGAAAAGAAAACATACTAACCAAGTAATCAAACACTTATCTCTACTTAAATACCATGACTACATTGCAAGATTCTTTGCCCAAATAAAGAAAATTAGAACCTTGTCCTGTTATTTAAAAACTAGACAGACTATGAATTCTCACCTGTAAGGCATGTTATTATTGCTGTTGACATCATTTACAGTTTTTCCTGGGGATACTGGTGGGTTTGGTGGATGCTAGGGAAAAAATACCAAGGTAAAAATAAAACCCAACACACAGGGAATCTTTTAAAAAAAAAAAGTAAGACCTGTAGATGCTTGTCAGTATATTATCTGTCACTGTTCTAATATAATGGGAAACATTACCAGCTGAGACAATAATTTGAATCTTGGCATTATCATTTGTTCATTGTCTCTTAAGCAAATCATTTACTTTGCTGAAGATAACTGCTTATCATTTGAGAGATCAATATAATAATTCCTGTATTTCAGTGTTCTTATGAAGATTAAATTAAAAACTCAAAAATGGCTCACATGCTGTAAGAGTTTAAAAAACATTAACAATATAAATCTAAAGAATAATAAGACTCACTCATTTGACAAATAGCTAGTGAATGACTACTATTTAGAAGGCACAGCAGGCATCACATTAGCACCAGAAATTCAACAAATAAGTGGTATCCATTGTCACAAATTAAAATCCTCAAATCAAAATTTTTGTTTTTAAAAAAATGCTACCTACCACCACATATCTTAAATTATTTCATAAAATGTCACAAATCTAAGCTTCAGTAACAACTTATTTCAGCCTTTCCCCCCAAAACCAGGGAATATAGAAATAGAATTCTAACACCTACATATTAATTATCATTATTTAAACCTCCATCATTAATGACTATCATCATTTATCTCTTAAAATAAGGCCAGACACAGTGGCTCATGACTGTAATATCAGTACTTTGGGAGGCTGAGCCAGGCAAGGATAGCTTGAGCTCAGGAGTTAAAGACCAGCCTGAGCAACATAGCGAAACCCCATTTCTAAAAAAAAAAAAAAAAAAATACAAAATTGGCCAGGCATAGTAGTACACTCCTGTGGTCCCAGCTCCTTGGGAGGCTGAGGTGGAAGGATCGCTTGAGCCAAGATTGTGTCACTGCACTTCAGCCTCGGTGACAGAGCCAGACCCCGTCTCAAAATCAAACAAACAACAAACAAAAAACGAAAAGAATAAAATAACTCCAGTCAAGTGTAAGAATAACATATTAAACCAAAGGTAATAAATGCTTAGAATTACATTGAGCAGATGCCATTAATCACTTTTCTCAACAACAAATACATCTTGTTACTTTTTTTTTTTTTTTTTGAGACGGAGTTTTTGCTCTTGTTACCCAGGCTGGAGTGCAATGGCGCGATCTCGGCTCACCGCAACCTCCGTCTCCTGGGTTCAGGCAATTCTCCTGCCTCAGCCTCCTGAGTAGCTGGGATTACAGGCACGCGCCACCATGCCCAGCTAATTTTTTGTATTTTTAGTAGAGACGGGGTTTCACCATGTTGACCAGGATGGTCTCGATCTCTTGACCTCGTGATCCACCCGCCTCGGCCTCCCAAAGTGCTGGGATTACAGGCTTGAGCCACCGCGCCCGGCCCATCTTGTTACTTTTTATATGGAACAACAATAATTTCAATCTTCTAGTATGACATTGCATTAGATAGGTATAGAGGGAAAAACAATGGAATTAAGATAATCTGCTATAAACATACTTTAAATCTGGCTGTCAAGACAAACACACGTAAAACAATAGAAAAGCAAATTAAAATAACAGTGTAATGCCAATGGAAAAAGCTTAAAAAAGAAAAGCTTTTAGGGAAAGGAATGTATCTTCGAGCACATTGCTGAGTGATATTTCTTATTTGAAGATGGAGTGTCACTCTATTACTCCGGCTGGAGTGCAGTGGCACCATCTTGGCTCGCTGCAACCGCCACCTCACACATTCAAGAGATTCTTGTGCCTCAGCCTCTGAGTAGCTGGGATTACAGGTGCCCACCACCATGCCCGGCTAATTTTTGTATTTTTCATAGATATAGGGTTTCACCATGTTGACCAGGCTGGTTTCAAACTCCTGACCTCAAGTGATCTGCCTCCCTTGGCCTCCCAAAGTGCTGGGATTGCAGACATGAACTACTGTGCCCAGCAATCACTGAGGAATTATTACACTTAAAATGGTTAAAAGAATGCTTCAGGAGAAAAACAAAAAAGAAGAAAAAACATAGAAAATAAATAAAACAAATGGTTTAGAACACAGGAGTCATTTGATGGAGGATTTTTTAACCTGTGGTATGATCAGCAATATATCAGAACAGGAAGTCCCAGGCTCTGCTTCCCCTATGAAGATGACTTAACAATGTAAGCATCATATTGCCTGCATGAGAATTCCACAAACTAATTGAGAGGATATGGCATCCCAGGTGAGCACAAGGCCAAAAAGAGGCACACTGGAACAGTTAGGAAACTACATTGCATTTATTCACTATACCCCATCAACCTCCCAACACACCTTCTACACCAGAAAAGAAAAAGAAAGGTGGAGCTTGTATCCAACTTTTTGAGAAGATGCTCTCAAGGCACTAGATTTTGTCTCAGCCAACAGAACTAACCTGGAGCAAGAACTGTGACTATGGCACTCTGGATGCCTGTGAGCCCCAGAGACCAAAGGTAGGACCCACAACTTGATACAGGACCAGAGAAATTGCAGTAACACAGACAGACAGCAGGGGAAGCACTAATACAACAGCTTGCCAAAGCACCAGAGACGGCTGCTATAGCAAAGACAGGCACCAGAGGGAGCTTCAGAGTGGAGAGGCAAACCTCTTCAGATGGAAGAGTACAAGCAAAAGCCCAGAGAAGACACAGCACATCCCCTCCCAAAAAAAAACGTTTTAGAGTCCCACAGAATCTCTAGCAAGGCTGACTGGTGAAGCCCTTCCCGTGTGCACGAGTCCACAAAGTCTGGGAGATGTGGCTGTTTTTTTGAATGCTAAAATTTCAGCAAGCATACAAATAGAGAAACACGGTCCAATCAAATAAACAAAATAAATCTCCAAAAACCAACCCTAAAGAAAAAGAAAGCTATGAATTATCTCCCAATAAATTCAAAATAACTATCATTAAGATACTCAATGAGGTGAAAGAGGTGACAGAAAACAGCAAAATCAGGAAAAGGGTGCACGAACAAAGTAAGAACATCAACAAAGAAATTGTAGAAACGAATCAAATAGAAATCATAAAGCTGAAGAATACACTGAAATGAAAATTCACTGTATGGAATCAAGAGCAGACTGGATAAAACAAAAGAAAAAAATCCACAATTCTGAAGACAGGTCATCTGAAAGTATCACGCCAGAGGAACAAAAAGAGAATGAAGACAAGCTAAGAAAATCTAAAGGACTTTTGGGACACCAACAGGCAGACAAATATATACACAAGGGAAGTAAAGGAAGACAGAGAGAAAGGGGCTAGGAACCCATTTAGATAAATAATTGCTGAAAAGGTCTGAAACTGAAAGAAGAAAAATGGAGATACAAATTCAAGAAGCTCAAAGACCTCTATCATTAACCCAAAAACATCTACACTGAGATACATTATAACCAAGCTGAGTCACAGTAAATAATCCTGAAAGCAATAAGAGAAAAGCAACTCATAAAAACATACAAGAAAACTCCCATTAGATAACATGCAGATTTCTCAGCAGAAACCTTGTAAGCCCTTCTGAAGGAATGAGATAATGTCTTTTCAAAATGGTGAATGAAAGAACTGCCAATCAAAGAATACTATATCTGGCAATAATATGCTTCAAAAATTAAGGTGAAATTAAAATTTTTCCCAGATTAATAAAAGTTGAAGGAGTTTCATCACTATACTTATCTTACAAGAAGTGCTAAAGAAAGTCCTTCAAGAGGAAATTAAAGAGTACTACACAACATCATGGAAGTATACAAAAATATGAACCTCCTTAGTAAAGGTTGATGAGGAGAAAAATAAAGAATCCTGTATTCTTGTTATATTGGTGCACAAATCACTTTTAATTCTGGTATAGAACTTAAAGCATAAAAAAACTAAAAATATGTTAACAGATACACAACATAAAAAGATGTGATATGTGGCACATCAGTAACATCAAGTTGTGGTGAGGCAGATACAGAGTAGAGCTCTTATATGACTAAAGTTATTTGCAGTTTAAAATAATAGTTGTAACTTTAGGATGTTTTATATAATCCCCATGGTAACCACAGAGAAAACATCTACAGAAAATACACAAAAGGAATTATAAAAGGAATGAAAGCATACTACTATACCAAAAGAAAACAAAAAAACAATGAACCTACAAACCAGAGAAAAAAACAAAACAACAATATTAAGTCCCTTCCAATTAGCAGTTTATTTAAATGCAAATGGATAAAACTCTGCAATCAAAAGACAGGCTGACTTAATGTTTTTAAAAAATAAAATCCAACTATATGCTGCCTACAAAAGGCTCACGTTGGATGTAAAACATAACACATAATGAAAGTGAAAGAATGGAAAAAGATATTCCATGCAAATGGTAACAAAAAGAGAGTAAGGATGGGCCATACTTATGTATGACAAAATTGACTTTAAGTCAAAAACCGTCAAAACAGACAATAAAGAACATAATGATAAAAGGGTCCTTTCACCAGCTGTAACAAATACACACGCACACACACACACCCCCCCAACATCAGAGCTCCAAATATATGAAACAAACATTGAAAGAATGAAAGGGAGAAACAGACAGCAACACAATTATAGTAGGAAACTTCAATACCTCACTTTCAGTAATGGATAGAACCATCAGACAGAATATCAGTAAGGAAACAGAGAACTTTAACAACACTATATACCAATTGGACCTGAGACATATAGAATACTCTATCAAACAACAGCAGAATACACATTCTTCTCAAGAGCACACAGAACATTCTCATGGATAGGTCACATGTCACAACCCAGGTCTTAACAAATTTAGGAAGAGTGGAATTATACCAAGTATATTTTCTGAACATAATGGAATGAAACTTTAAATCAAAAGCAGAAGAAAATTAGGAAAAGTCACAAATATGTGAAAATTAAACATGCTGTTAAAAAAAAAAACCCAACAAGTCAAAGAAGAAGGTAAATTACAAGGAATCTTCAGATAAATGAAAATGAAAACAAAATAT